TAACAGTACGGTGGTTCCTATGACTCAACAAAGAAGAAAAAGAACGACAAAACAACTAAGTCTTTGCGCTCCATAATCTTCACGCGATGTCTTTCCTTGTCATAGTCTTCAATGTGAATGTCTTCACATACCACCTTTGACTTCAATGTCTTCATACATTTTTAGGGGTCATCTCTGGTAGGAAAACTGAATCAATGAGGGACTTCTACCTGTGTTGTCCTGCAATTCTCACAAACACATTAGTCCCTCAACCAGGTTTGTCGTCAATACTCCAAAACCAACTAGGGGTGGCACTAGATGCACTTACAGATGATGTTGCGAAAAGAACTTCTGCAACATGGATTCTGAGATTGTTTCATCGGAGATCACAGGAAAACCTTTTCTGCATCGGCCACCAGCCAGCTCTCGATCTCGTTCTTGAGCTTAGACTGCAATGCCAACGTCCCCTTCACGAGGACGACGCACATTCTCTCAAGCACAAGCGCGTTGCCGAACAGCAGCCTGGCCATCATCCTCTGTGTCTCGTCGCCCACGTAGTGCACCATGTTGATCTCCTTCACTCAGTGCCGCAGACATGGCATCGAGAAGCTCGACTCGTCAAGAACCATGGCCTCCTCATCGGGAGCTACCGACGAACCATCCGCGTCATTCTCCTTCTCCACTGTGTCATCCTCATCATCTTCCTCGCCCATGGACAGGTCCATGCCCATGGTAACATCTTTCTTTTTTGTGTACACGGCATGCTCCTCCATGTACAGCGACAGGACCTCCGGGTTCGGGGTCTGCTCCAGGATTCTACCCACCGAGACGACGGTGGCGCAATTCACGAGTGGGCCTTGCAACACGAGCCTCGTCAGGATTGAGAACAAAGGGAAACCTGAGAAGAACCTTCCCTCCAGTTTATGATGGTGCAGATGGAGGTGCTTGGCATCACTGATTTTTTGCATGAACACCCTAAACCCCGTAAACCCTGCATCCTCGGGGAGCACTTTGTAGAAGTCCACCGTGCACGAAGGGACTCTCGGCAAGCCGTGCAAGGACAAGAGCGGCTCAGTCGGTACCGTGCCACAGTAGTCCAGCGACCTCAGCTCCGACGCGTCGATGTCGATAGACTTCATGTTGTGACAGCAGCGGAGGGCGAATCTCCGGAGGCGTTGGTCGAGCACGGATACTCGCTTCAGGTGGTGGACAGCTTCCAGCGTTAGGTCGACGAGGCGGGGGCAGTCGGAGATCAGCCGCTGGATGCTCCTCCCACCATCGTTGTGGGGAGCCGTGATGCTCAAGGTCTCGAGGAGCGGCAGGCTGGCGGCCGCCGGCAGCTTCAGCCGGCAATAGGCGACGCATAGCGTCCGTATTACCCGGCAGGTGAAGAGCCTTGTCAGGAGGACGCCGCCTCCTCAGCTTGGAGGACTCGTCCTTGTCGTCGGTGTTGTCGGTGCCGCTGTCCACGGCCTCGTCGTTGCAGATCGAGGCCATGGAGAAGCGCAGGTCGAGGTGGAGCTCCTGGTGGCCGTGCCGCAGCATGTAGATGAGCCATTGGTCGACATGCACGAAGTTCGAGTGGTGGCACTGGTCGAAGGCAAAGCGGAAGCTGCGCAGCGGCACGTGGTGGCCGGCGGTCCGGTGGCGGCAGAGGAGCGCGGAGCAGACATCATCGAGGAGCGCCCCGCTGCAGCTCTTCTTCTCCTCCGCCTCGTGGTAGAAGGTGACCCAGTCGTTGGCCCTGGTGCCCCAGCGCTCCCCGAAGGAGACGGCGTGGACGTTGCAGAAGACGCCGCGCCACCGCCGGGACAGCCCCGCGGCGCGGCCGGCCTCCTTGTTCGGGAGGAAGGAGAGGACGTGGCCCAGCAGGGTGTCCGGGAGGTCGCTCAGGCGATCTCTGCTCGCCGGCCTACCCATCATTTCCTTTTGCGGCGATGACGACGGCGAAGCCATGCCGATCCGATCCGATCCGGCAATCAAGCCATCGATCTCAGAAAGATGGCCGCCGTTTGCAAAGACTTTAGGGTTTATATAAGAGCATGTCTAGTAGAACCCTCAAACCCTTAAAGCAGTTTTAAGGGTTGAGAAGTGCCATCTTTTGTCACTTTTTAGGGTTGAAAAACAGGGGCTAAGACTAAACCCTCAAACCCAACCCTTAAACTGCTTTAAGGGTTGAGTTTGAGGGTTCTATTCTTTGCCTCAACCCCAACCTTTAAATCTATCATTTGACATCTCACAATTTACGACTACAAGAACACAATCAACCTCAAACAAACTACCAAATGACAATCATTGATGCATGGTTTAATAGTTTGCATCACAAAATCATCATCTTCCCCCTCTCATCGGCACCATCACCAAAAAGTTGCACCTCGGCGCCATCTCCTAGACCACATTCAGGCTCCATCAAGCATCTCCATAGGCGCCGGCGGAGTCGTCCACACCGCCATCGCCACAACTACTCATCGGAGTGTCACCTCGAAAAGTAGAGGACGCACCATGGAACATCCTCTTCCTCTCCGCGATGTCCTCCTTGTAGTCCTTCCACCATTGCAATTGGACTTGATCCATGTCCTTCTTGGACATCATCATGTGCTCCTTCTCTTCCACCATGAGTTCCTTCCATACCTTTGCCTCTTTGAGCTTGATCATCCTCTCCTCCAAGTCGGCCTTGCGCTTTGCTTCTTCACACTTTGCTTCAACTTGTGCAAGCTTGACCTCTTTCTTCTTCTCTGTGATAAGAAGCTTCGTCTCCAATGTCTTCGTTGTCAATTCCTCTCTTGCCTTCATCATGTGCTCCATCTTCTCCCTTAGGCTTGACGCCTCTCCTTCCATCTTCACCCTTAGCTTGCCCTTCTTGTTTCCCTCGGGCTTGCCCAAGTTCCTCTCCTCCTCATCTTCACTATCATCCATCCTAAGCATTGCCGACTTCTTGGGTGCGGTCTCTTGATCCCTCAACTTCCACTTGTCAAAGGTTTGAAGAATTGCCCAAGCATGCTTAAATGGGAATGTCTTGCCCTTGGAAGCGGCCATCTCCTTGTACCTCATGCCGGCAATTGTCTCCTATCAACCACACATAATCACATAAGAACCCACCAATAGCATAGTACACACACATAATCAAAATAGTGAAGAGATATGTACTCACATAGTCACTCTCCACGGTTCCACTAGGTGGTGCATCCCTCACTTGGTCCATGGCCGCACTCCAACGAGCACAAGCGGGCTTCATCAACTCCCACCGGCCTTGAAGCGACCGGTAAGTGCGAGAGATGAACCCACTATTCTTCAGCTTGATCCTACAATAGGTGTCCTCGATCCTTTGCCAATACCGTTTACCGGTTTGATCGGCGCCGGTGCTTCCCCACAGCTGCCCAAGCATGAACCAAGAGGATATCTTCCGCCTCGGTGTAGTTTGTCGACCGCGGTGTGGGCGGGAAGCGGTGGTGAATGCCTCCTCCACTATCTCGGCCACCTCCTCCTCGTCATCCCCGTCATCTTCCTCATCTTCCTCATCTTCCTCCAAGTCGTCACCAACCCTAAAGGGGTCTAGAGGCGGAGCTCTGAGGTCCACCTCCGCGTTTTGGAGGAGGTCCATGAACAAGGATGGGGTTGCCATTTCCTCGAACACCTCGTGCGCGGCGGGAGGAGGTTCGGCGACGGCGGCGGGTAGGGCCGTGGGCTTCTTCCGCGCCACGGGCTTCTTCCGCGGCTTGTTCACGGCCGGGGACGAGCCGGCGACCTTGGAGGCTGCCCCTCGCGGCCCATGTGAGGCCGCCTTCGGCCGGCTCTTCTTGGGGGCGGGCGCGGCGGCGGGGGCGGGCGCCGGGGCGGGGACGGGGG